GAGGTGGGAAGGAGGGTGGAAGGAGAACTGGCGCGGCGCACACGAGTGGTCCACGGGGACTCGAGCCTGTGCTGGGTCCACGGGAATTGAAAATGCGTAAAATAAGACGGGCCGGTGTGTCGCTGCCTCGCCGCTTTTGTTTTCGGTCCTGCTCTCGGTGCATGGACCGAACTCCTTGGGCTGTGCAGGCCTGACTGACTTTAGCACATGGATAGAAATGGACTGAACTGCAAACGCACATGTGTTATTGGGCCTGAGCCGTTTGGTTGGTCCATGAAACGTGGTCAGTTAGCAATTTCTGAACTTCGACAACCGCCATTGATATATACTCCCATAATGCATACTAGGTGTTTTGCATATGTTCATGCACATTGTTTCTTCTCGGGTCATCAAAGCACGGTATCTACTTCTTTATTGTTTTGCAATGTCAGTTTATTTTGTTTATGTGACATGCTTAGAACGTGTAGACCGTGAAGCATTTGGAAGGGCCATAAAGTTCCCAAACCTTTTTCGAATTTGTTAATATTTTCTAAATTTCTGCAAAAAGGTCAAATTTGATAACATTTCCAAATTCATGAACATAGAGAAATTCACAAACATTTCCTAAATAGGAAATCTATTTTGAATTCAAAAAATATTTTTCAAATTCGCACGATTTTTTTCAAATTCACAAGCATTTGTTTTTGAATTAATGGATATATTTTAAACTATAGCTTGTTTCTCAAAATTCGCGTACATTCTTTAATTCGTGAACAATTTGAAAATTCACAAAGATTTTAAAATCTGCTATTTTTTAATTAACTATTTTTTAAATCTGCAATGATTTTTGAGTTCGTGAATGTTTTTAAAATTTGTGAACAATTTTACATCTTTGATAATAATTTCAAATTCATGAACATATTTAAATACATAATATTTCTCAAGTTGGTAAAAAAATGAAATCACAAATATTATTAAAATTTGCAAAAAATTGCATTCGTAGATATATTTTAAATTATTGCACATTTTTCGAATTGTGGTTTTCTATGATTCTCAAACATTTTTCAAATTTGTGGATTTTTTTGAATCAATGAACTTTTCCTTGGATTACCTAACATTTTGTTTCGCTGACAAACACCTGTCAATTCGCAAACATTTTTTTACAATTAATGGACATTTTCCAAATCCATGAAAATTTTATCAAATTCGTCAACATTTTAAAATTCATGATTTTTTTTCCAATCCATGAATATAATTAAACTTTTGGAATATTTTTTGTAATGAAATAAAACCTACCAATATATGAAACTCGACAAAAATATGTAAAACAGTTGAAAACAAACCTAGGGTGGCAAAATGACCACTTCGCCTTGCTCATAATTGGCCGACTCACGAATGAGGAGGACGAAGATGATCAGAGGCAATGCCGCAATGGTATCGCTCACGGAGACCACCTCGCCGGCACATTAAGCGATAGTTGGCCAAGGGCTTGCACCAGAGGCTCACATGCCATGGCCCTTTGGTATGCTCACTCGCAGCACTAGTCTCTCGTTTGTTCGACCGGCTTGCTTTGCTTTCCTTCTCTCTCACATTTTACTGCTACTCCGGTATTGTCTTGGGAAAAATGAACTTCAGCTCTTTTAATCAAAAAAGTTGGCTGATTTTAAAACAAATTTATGCATTTTAAAAAGCATGGGTTAGTAAAAATAAAAATTTTATCATAAAGTTCATGAATTTGAATAAAACGTGAATCTTTGAAAATTTTGTGAATATGAAAAAAATGCTAATTTAAAAAACAAATTTTTGAAAATTGGTCACAAATTAAAAAAAATTGAATTAAATAAAACAGAAAAAAAAAACAGGATGGAAAACATAAAAGCCCAACCCCCAAAACCAAAGAAAAACCAGCCCGAAAAGAACAGGAGGGATTCTTCTAGAGCCTTCAAGAAGGTTCCCAAAACCGATGTAAAGGAAATTGGTGTTGCTAATATGGGCCGGCCTACTTAGTACGTACAAGCGAAGGTGTGTGCGCCAGGTACAGATAATGCTATAATTGCCAAATAGATTTTGCTCGCTCCCGATAGGCAATACATATCACTTTTCCTTCTAAAACGTTTATGTATGAGTATATGAAGCAATAACAAAAATTGTGTTTTCCTAAAAAAATGACGCATCATCTTAGGAGTCTTCAAAAATGCAATTTTTTTTGGCTAAAGTTCATGGTAATCACTTCGCATATTTGTGCTCAGACAGGTGCTCCACCTCAAGCGTAAGTGTGCTTCAACAAGTGGAGCACAAGTATGCCCCCTAAAGGAGAAAAGGTGAATCACGTATGTTCTCCACGGTTGAGCACACGTTGGCTTCTTCGTAGGGCGCAAATGTGATTCACGGCGAAGCGTGCGTGTGGAGCATGGGTGTGCTTCGCGGTGAAGCACACCTATGCTCCCTAGCAGAGGAAGATGTGTTCCCTCATGGATCCAATCAAGGTAGAAGGAAAGAGGGGGAAATCAACCTGATCCCCTTTGCTTTCGCCACGTATTGAACGTTGCATTAGGAAGGGTATCTCTTAACTAGTGATTTTGATCGGGAAGCCTTTCTATGCCACACATCCTTCTGGGCCTTGGCCCAATAGTGCTCCTTCGAACATTCGTGCATACGCTTGGTCATTTGTCCTGGTTTTTGCTTGATTTTTCTGCTCCATCTCTGTTGTATTAGAGGAAAAACCGGTTACCATTTTTTTGGTTATTTTTTAAATTGTGGTGAAATCAAATAATTGTTCATGACTTTAGAACATATTCACAAGTTTGAGAAATATTCAGAATTAGAAAAATGTTCACAAATTTGAAAATATTCTAAAAATATTCATGATTTTTAAAATAATTTTCCAAATTCAAAAGGTTCACGGATTAAAAAATCATGAATGCGATAAAATTTAAATTTTGAAAACTACACGGATTTGAAAAACGTTCATGAATTTAAAAAATGCTTAATTTAGATATTTTCATTGAAATGAAAAACGTTCATTAATTTTAAAAAACATTCGCAAAATTTAAAAATGTTCACACATTAAAAGAGGCCATATTTATAAAAATAAAATGAAAAATAAAAAACGTGAAAAGGTAAACCCCGAAACAAAAAGGAATTATCAAAATTTAAAAAGCCGATCAGATCAAGGTAAAATAAAGCAGAAAAAACGAACAAGAAATTTTAAACCAATCCAAAGAACACTCTAGTAACTTTCTAAAACCGGAAGTCTCGGCATCGTGACCCTTTCATGGGCCCGTCCGTTAGCAAGGTACACGCTCAGGAGAGGTGTGCGCTTTTTACGTGAATCAAACTATTTGACGCCTTAAGCGCCAAGAAAACAGGGTAATGGAAAATTCCCTTTTTGGTAGGCCTATATGAAAAAAATGAAACTATGGTCTTTCAGTAGAACAGAAAAGGATGGCTAGTTCACAATTTCTAAACTTTTTTTTAGAAACACAGTACAAACACAACTTCTGAACTTGGAGAGAGAAAAACCTCTGGAACGAGGACTAGGCATACAACACTACAAAATGATGTAACTCTTGAGGCTGGTGACAGCGTCAGAGCACGATATTTAACACTTAACGTATCTAGAGCAAGCAATCTAGAGGTACCAGAGTGACCTGTGCAATACCCATGCAGGCAATATCGTGTGACGGCGAACGTAATAAGCGCATGCTTAGAAGAGAGCAAAGACGGGATACGGAGGACTGCAGAAAACAGACCAGACGGAGCAGCCTGATTTGACTCGTGCCTCATGCATAATCTCCAGCTGTTTCGGAGAGCCTCTTTGAAAGGGTCAGTCGTGTTAGGCTTAGCTCTGACTGTCATCTCTTCTTCTTGGGAAAATCTTAACGAACTCTCTGTAATACTGGAAAAGTCATGGTCGAGCAGGACAAGCAGTACGAACGCACGAACGCTTGCCATGCTAGGAGTGGAAAGAAGAAGGGTGCTCCAATACCGACACATGTTAGTACATGACTCGCTACAAGTCTTCTACTAGTATAACCCTTGAAAATAGATTTACAATCTTTTTGTGCAATATTTGTGCAAGGGACCTATGCTTGAAACAAGTCTTGGCTTACTTAATGAGTGTGGCTAGGTCTCAGTCGACTGAGATTTAACCAAGTCTTAGTCAAGTAATGTAACATGCAAAGAGAGAACAAGAAAAAACCGAAAAGAAAAGTTTGCACGGATCCCATTGTACATCTGATAGATATATCATCGGACTTAACGAAGTGTCAGTCGACTATTACTTACTCCCTCCGTCCCAAAATATAAGAACAAAACGTTTTTATATTCTGGGATAGAGGGAGTAATTTCTTGCATGCAAAGAGAAGAAACCGATATCAGCCGGACGGCTAGTGGAGGTGGCTGTACCAAGCCAACTGACGATCGAATTTAGGTTAGATGCTCGACGACCCAAGTTTTTTAGTGTACATGTGTTTTGTCTACGCTGCGCTCCTGGAGAAAACAAGTCTATGAAAAAACAACTTGGTGGAGCAGCACTCACTCCCTTTGAGAGGGGAGGGGGAGGCAGATCCGTTTTGCAACCACCAAAGGACCAAAGCTACTCCACTCCAGCAAGTACACAACAAGGAATCAAACACGTTAGCTGCGCCGCGCCCACATCTTTACCCTCTCACTCACAAGCATCCTGCGACGCCCACCCAAACCCAACCCAACCCAACCCAGCCCCGACGCACGCCAAGCCCCTCGCGCCCGCGCAGGCGGTCAAATCCCCCCAAGGGATCGGGTCAATGGAGCGAGAAACCACCACCAACACCCCGCAAAAGAACCACCCAAAAGCTCTGCTCTCGCCGTCACGCCCCCCATATATACGCGCGCCCCGCCCTCCACGGCGCGCCCACCCCGCTCCTCCACCTCCCCTGCCTGCTGCATACAGCCGCGAGCGAGCGAGCTCAAGCTCCGAGCCGCCGCCGTCGAGCACGAGGAAGGGAAGCAGAGTAGCCATAGCTAGCGCCGGCGCCGGCATGGGGAGGTCGCCGTGCTGCGAGAAGGCGCACACCAACAAGGGCGCGTGGACCAAGGAGGAGGACCAGCGCCTGATCGGCTACATCAAGGCGCACGGCGAGGGCTGCTGGCGCTCGCTGCCCAAGGCCGCGGGCCTGCTGCGCTGCGGCAAGAGCTGCCGCCTCCGCTGGATGAACTACCTCCGCCCCGACCTCAAGCGCGGCAACTTCACCGACGACGACGACGAGCTCATCATCAAGCTCCACGCCCTCCTCGGCAACAAGTAAGCAACCGATCGCGATTTCAATGCGCATCGCCTCCTCCGCCTCTTCTTTCCCTGGTGTCTTGGAGGAAGGAAGCAGTTATTGACTAAAGCAGCGGTCGCCGTCGTGCAGGTGGTCGTTGATAGCGGGGCAGCTGCCGGGCCGGACGGACAACGAGATCAAGAACTACTGGAACACGCACATCAAGCGCAAGCTCCTCAACCGCGGCATGGACCCGCACACGCACCGCCCCATCAGCGCCGCCAGCGGGCTCACCGCGTCCACCACCGCCCCCGTCTTCCCTTCCTCCCCGGCGCCGGCGTCCAGGCTCGCCAGCGCGCCTTTCGCCTTCCAGAGCAGCACCGTGAGCTTCGCGAGGCCGTCCCCGTCGGACGACGGGCACAGCAGCAGCGGCGGAAGCAGCGACGCGCCGCGGTGCCCCGACCTGAACCTCGACCTGGACCTCGACCTGTCGATGAGCCTGCCGAGCTCGCCGCCCAAGACCGCGCCGCCCGCCAAGTCCACGCCCACGTCGCACCAGCAGCAGGGCATCTGCCTGTGCTACCACCTCGGCGTCCGCGACGGGGAGGCATGCACCTGCAAGACGGCGTCGCCGGCGGGCCCGCGCGTGTTCCGGTTTCTCCGGCCCCTGGAGGAGGGTCAATACATATAGCACGCTAGGCGCCCGGCAAAACTCTGTACAAAGCACAAAACGAAGGAGGAGAGGGAGAAAAAAAAAGGGTTTCTAATTGAGATAGCTGATGTGGGTTATTATTTCTGATGTTTCGCTTCATCCCAAATATGATTCATTTCTTCTTGCCGTATACTCCTACTAGTATAGAATTTTGAATTTCATGCAGCGGCAAAAAATGTACAAAAGGATCTAGGGTGGCAAAAGTTGATAGTACCTACTCCCTCCGTCCGGAAATACTTGTCATCAAAATAAATAAAAGGGAATGTATCTTGATGTATTTTAGTTCTAGATACATCCTTTTTTGTTAATTTTGATGACAAGTATTTTCGGACGGAGGGAGCAGTACTAAATTAGTGTAGAACACACAGGCACATAAGTGAGAAAAGAGTAGATGGTATTGTTTGATTGCGCATGCGATTCGGGCGTCTGTTTGTGTCATGTGGGATATAGTGCGAGAACAGAGCATGTGGCGTGTTTTGGGTAGGTAGGGAGCTTATGCTATTTAGGCCCTCGAGGAAATGAAAACAACCTATTTCTTCGTCCATTTTGTAGTCATCACTGCAGGACTCAACAATTTTCATTACAATATGTTTCGAAATATTTAAACATGCATGCATGAACTGTTCCTGCTCATATTATATCCATGCATATGCAAAATATTGTTAAACGTTTTAAAATTTTAGACCGCACACGTTTGATAAACATATATTTTTAGACATGGAGATATTATGATTACTCGATGTGAATTAGCGGTTAGTCACGAGTGATCTAGCATAGCATAGTTCTTGTAGGTTCGCTCCAGCGACGGGAGGGGGTGAAAATCCCACGGCTTCGACCCGAAGATGGTTGGGGATAAATTTAAATTTGTCTTTGATTGGTGATGGCGAGATGAAGGGGCGTCGTCGGCGTGGAATAAGGTCTTCCCGCCTTGCCCACGTTGAGAGCTGCTTCTTCGTATGGTTAGGAGGTGTGTGTGGAAATCTGGCACTTTGGTCTAGCGTACTATGACAAGCATGTAGAATAAAAACGTTATCTTTTCCAGGGCGACAATTTGCTACGAACATTGCGGCCGTCTGTGTCTTCCGGCCTACATCGACAATTTTCTAGTCACTGATTCTACAAGCTCAAGAGTATCAACACGTTTGTTATGTCAAGATGGAGGTCGAGAGATGATAACAAGATTTGCTCAGGGCACGTCATCGAAGGATGAGGAAGAATACTTCGACACACCCAAGAATTCGGATGTAATTTTCATCGTTCGTAAGGATGCTTTGAAGGATGTGTCTTGCTTAATATATTTTGGCTTTTTTGCAAAAAGTACAAAATTAGAAAATCATTCATTAACTATGGATAGTTAGAAATGAAAAGGGTGTCTGATTTTAAAATGGATAGGTGCTCCTCGAAACCATCCATCGGTTGATAGAGGCAGGCATGGAAAAAATTAGTTGGCCATCTCATTTTTATGTGGAAAAATGACATGAGGTTGCAAATCTGTTGCCGTGTGGGTTATGGTGGTAAGTTAGACCACCAACCTAGCTGGTTCAGAAGTCGCGAAAGGACAAGTGGAAATGACACTTATAGTAGTCCCAAAAAACTTTTTGAATTTACCTCAAAGCTTCATGGTGGTCCAGCTTCATCATACAAAATGCGTAAAAAGCGAATTATGGACTCTGGTGCAAGTGGATATATGTAACATGTCCTCAGTTTTCATCTTTTGTAAAAGTGTTTTAATGGGCCTGTCCTGCTTAATACATTTTGTTTTTTTTGCAAAATAGTACAAATTAGGAAAATTATTCATTAACTATGGACAGTTAGAAATGAAAAGGCATCTGATATTTAAAATGGACAGGCGCTCTTCGAAATCATCCATCGCTTGATAGAGGCAGGCATAAAAAATACAGTTGGCCATCTCATTTCTATGTGTAAATCTGCTTTCGTGTGGGTTATGATGGCAAGTTAGCTTACCAACCTAGCTGGGTTCAAAAGTCGCCTAGGGACAAGTGGAAGTGACACCTGTAGTAATAACCAAAAACTTTGTGAATGTATCTCAAAGCTTCACGGTTGTCTAGCTCCATCATACAAAATGCGTAAATTAGAACGAGATTGTGGACTCTCGTGCAAGTGGGTATATATAACACGTCCTCAGTTTTCATCTTTATGAAAGGTGTTTAATGGAATCGAAACCTGGAACCAGAGCTGCAACCGAGCTATCTGATGACGGAATAGCGCCATTGAGAGTCATGTCAGAGTCATGCCCTTTGGCCCAATACAGAAGAAAACAGAAAATATGTTCTTGTCGAGCTTCATGAAGAAGACCGATAATGTGGCCACTCGGGGGTTTCATAGTTCTATTGGAAAAATTCCTTTTGATCTAAGTGGAAGGATACATGATTTTTTTACTAGAAATTGCGCTCGATATAAAATAGAAGTTTTAATTTGGGCGGTTCGCGTTTTATTGTAAAAAGAGAGCTTTTCATTCTCTTATAGAAGCCCGCGCCCACGCGGGTAAAGCCCAGCGGGGTCTGTCCTACTTAATACATTTTGATTTTTTCACAAAAATAATGAAAAATTAGGAAAATCATTCATTAACTATGAATAGTTAGAAATGAAAAAGGTATTTGATTTCTAAAATGGATAGGCGCTGTTCTTAACCATCCATCGGTTGATAGAGGCAGGCATGAAAAAATATAGTTGGCCATCTCATTTTTACGTGAAAAATGACACGAGGTTTGAAATCAACTGTGGTGTGGGTTATGGTGGTAAGTTGGCCTACCAACCTAGCTGGGTTCAAAAGTCACTAAAGGACAAGTGAAAATGACACCTATTGTAGTCCCAAAAAACTGTGTGAATTTTCCTCAAAGCAGCATGGTGGTCTAGATTCAACATACAAATTGTGTAAATTGGAAGCAAATTATGGGCACTGGTGCAAGTGGATATATGTAACACGTTCTCAATTTTCATCTTTTGTAAGTGTGTTTTGGAGGGTCCTGATACGTCTCCATCGTATCTACCTTTTTAAACACTTTTGCTCTTATTTTAAACCCTAATTTTCATGGTTTTGGTGAAACTAACTCGGACTGACGTTGTTTTCAGCAAAACTATTTTGGTGTTATTTTTTGTGAAGAAATAAAAATTTCTCGAAATTGGAAGAAACTTTGCTCAGAATTATTTTGAAATAAACAAAAGATATTGGAGCAAGAAACCACCGAAGAGGGGCCAGGGGTTGGCCACATGGACAGGTGGCGCGACCACCCCCAGGCCTCTTGACCTAATTCCAACGCAATAAATTCACTGTTCCCCTGAAAAAATCAGAGAGAAAGTTCCATTGTGTTTTACGATACAGAGCCACCGCCATTGTAACACCCCGAGAATCTTGCTACAGTAATCTCCCCCTAATGTGCCATGACATCACCTTTTTGCTAATCCATTTGTCACTTGATCAAAATTCAAATCAAACTCAAATTTAATATAAAGTAAAAAATATTTATTCAAACAACAAAATAAAAATGTTAATTGGGTTGCAAATATTCACTAACTAATTTTCATGAAGAAACCAACATCATTTGAATTCCCCAAATGTCCCTAGCAAATTATAAAGTGGTCCAACAACAACTAATATGGGCTTTTAAATATAAAACAAATGTTTATACAATTCCAAACCACTTGAGACTTTGTGTGTGGGCTAAAAATGTTGCATTTAAGTTTATATGCAAAGTTTCACTTTTTACGAAAATCATTTAGTAGCAAAAGAAGCAAGAAAACAGAGAAGAAAATATAAAACACAGAAAAATTATACAAAAAAGGAAAAGAAAGGAAAGGCCCATGTAGCATGGGAGAGGCCTAGCCCACATCCCCACTCCCCCGCGTCTCCTACCTAGCTACATGAGCGGGCAGGGGCGGCCGTGGCACCATCTCCATGGCCGACGCCACACGTCAACCATCCGTGCCCCCTCATAGCCCTACAAGACTCCACCCTCGACCCCTGGAAACCCTAGTTCCCCTCGTTCCCCTTCCTCTCACTCCCTCACCCTCCCCCTCTCTGCCATGCTTGCCCGAGCGGACAGATCGCCACGCTGGAGCCACCTCACGTCGCACGGAGATGCCAAGGAGGGTCCCTGACGTCTACTACATCGTCCGCGCCATCGGGCATGAGTCGTGGAGCCGCATCCATGCCGCCTGCTTCGCCCCGCTTCGACTATGGCCACCAGAGCGCCGCCGCACAATTCGTCGCCCCTGTGCTACAAAACCCCTTGCCAAGCTTTTCATCTGCTCCCCGGTGGCTTCTCCGTCGGACCCCCTTCCCCTGCCTCGATTTGGTTACCCTTTTGCCGCCCCACCGGAGAGTGATACGTCTTCGTCGTATCTACTTTTCCTAACGTCTTTCCTCTTGTTTTGACTCTAATATGCATGAT